AAATAAAGCAAGTATCGGATTGACAAGACAATTGATAGATGCAAAATAATAATATTTTCCGAAAAGGTAAATCTTGAAGTTTTTAATGATGCAGAGTAAAATTGTGTCACGGTTGTCATAGCAACGAAAGAGTTCTATAATTGCCAAATATTGTGTTTTTCCTCTTTCTCTTCCCAGAAATACAAATAAATTGACAACTAATACCTTCATCACAAAGGAGTGATCGATGTTATTAAAACAAAGCATGTAGTGAATTTCTTAAAACTATACTGGTCAATTTAATTGAAAATAAAGAGTTTTTGCAGTAGCACAGTGTCCGTCATCCGTGAGTCTGGTTTTCTAGCTGTTTGATTGTCTGTAAACAATTTTCAAATCACTTCTTCTCCTATAGTTTTTGCCTGATTCTAATAAAACTTGGTATAAATGAGAATACATTAAGACACATAATTCTTTATTTCATTTTCCCCCTAATGAAGTGTGCCATGGTTACAAAAATAGGAATTTCTTTGACGGCTACTTCTTCTTAAGATTTTTACAATTTCAATAAAACTTGTAACACGGAGAATTTTCAGGATTGATAGCGTAACATATGCAGATCTGTCAGGCACATTTCGTTTTCCTCAGAAGTACTTCACACTGACGCTCGCTATGGCCCGAAATAATTCATATGGAGAATATCAAAATTTCTAACACTTTTTCTGCAATGTGTCTTTACCTGTTAATATTTCGTAAAAAAGATATAGAACGAAAGTTGTGAAGAATAACAAAAATTTTCTTACGATATCAGCAAACAGGGACTGACCCCTAAAATTAGGAATCAAAAGGACCATAAAGATTTTCTTGATATCATAAAAGTATTCAGAATTTGTAAAGCATCATGCAAGTTAAATTGCAATTAGATAGATGAAATTTTATTGAAAACAAAATGAAAATAACGGAAGAAAACCTCAAAGAGCATAATGAGTGTCACGTTGGACTGGCCCTTGAAAGTTAAAAAAATCAACTGTAAAAAGACGAGAAATGATTCATTTGATACTCATGATTTCATCCTCTATGTACAGTGAAAGTTTCTGCCATTATATAATCTATATGCAAAGCTGCGATCTTTTTAAAGATGTGATTTTCTCCTTGTGTCAAAATCACAGCGGGATAAATTTGTTTTATTCTTTAGTAAAATTGTCAAGTCAAAAGCTATTTGTGTCAAATTTTGCTTTGCAATATATTTTAAACTGTGGCCATTTTAATGATAATTTTATTTCTTTTGGAAAATCATTTGTCTTATTTTTCTCATGAATGAACGGAGGGATGGCGACCCTTAATGTGGCATTTTTTCTAGTATTCAATCGTTCTGTCTTCTGAGGTGTGAGAGGAGCTGATTAAATATTTGAAAAAAATATATATTGTTTATTAAATACTTATTACGAATATGACAATACAAGTATGTTCACATATATTTATTTGTCATCGTTAAGAAATCCAGTTAAATTATTTAAATAAAAGATGATTGTATAATCTTGTCCATTGAAACATAAATATACAAAGTGACTGATTATTTTTCACTTATTATAAGATTTTGATGGCTCCAGCTTTATCCCTTGAAGTTTTTGATTTCTCAGAGTTGGGTCTTGCTGTCGATCTTGTCCCATCTAAAACATTTTCAAAACATTCATTATTCTCTCAGCAGAATTAACATACGAATCACTAATATTTGACCGTACTTATTAACATCTACCCCAAAGTTTTTTTTTTCGCTTTCGCTTTGGTATAACCATAATATTTTCAATACTAATACTACAATTCAACAGTACATGCAGCAGTAAAACAGTTGGAACACTTTAAGTGACTTTAATGATCTTGCATAAATAAAAAATACAAATTCAATGTTAATTAAAACAAAAATAATACAATTATAAAGGAAAATTGCGAATAAAAAGTTTAAAATAATAGTTAATTATTGATAATCATCAGAAGAAAAAGAGTCAAGATTTCTTCCATGATCTCTACAACTTCGGGGATGTCTCGAGTCACATATGGCTCCTTCAAATATCCATTTTGACTTTTAAAAACTCCTGATCGTTATTTTTTATACGATTCTCTCTCTCTCTCTCTCTCTCTCTCTCTCTCTCTCTCTCTCTCTCCAATGGATACATTAACAATTTTGAAGTGTTGTATACTTTTGGATGTTAAACTTTAAAGTACAATGTAAAATTTCGATCACTTATCTCTTACGCACCTTAGTAAACGTGACAGTGTATAAAATTCTAGTTGTATATTTCCGAATATTGTCCATAGCCCTAAGTGTCATTATCCTACTGGGAAATAGTCACTCAACCAGCTGTTGAACAGGATATTCTTGTAGAATTTGAGTGTTTCATTTATCTTTTATTCAATGATTAATCACCAGATAAGTAATAGCCCTTGTATTTGTATTTTGAAAAAAAAAATCGGACTTTTTTTCTAAACAGGAAATAGAAAGAATTGTAGTATAATATGTATCTACATTTAAATGAAAAAAAACACAGTTTACCACTTTGGACATTTATTATCAAAAGTTGCGACTGTGAAGAAATATCTTCCGTCATTAAGTAGCGTTGAAATTACCATTATACTTTTTTATATCTTGTCAAATATTGTATTCAGGACAGGGAATGTTTTTATATGCAGAATTCTACAGAAAGTACAATATAACAAGACAAAATAAATACTCTATATATCTTTTGCGAAAGAATGACACTAGTAAAAGAACAATCGAATGTTTATTTAATTTTCATTAGGATTAACTTTTTTGTTGAAAGCAAGGAGGTCAATTTTCACAAATTTCACATACGAATATAACGTATGGATATATGTTTGTTTTTTACTTCAGTATTTGTTTTAGAGAAATTTTTTTACAGACGAATTTAAGGTGAAAAACTGGCGCAAAGCACATACGTTGGATAATAAAAACCCGAATCTGAACTTTTAAATATAAAAATACCTGGTTTAGGTCTAAAATCTTATTTCGGTTATATAAAGACTTATCTAATTATATATTGTAGAGACTGTACTTTACACTAATTTTGTATAATTCCATATGAAAGATTCTACAAGATCTCAAAATACATCTGATATGTCCGTGTTACGGGCGCAATTGACGTTTAAACAGTCTGTTTATATGTGTTCATATGTTTTAATATTTTGTGCACTGTCTGACATTATCTGACAATTGAACATCATTTATGTTTATAATATGTTTCAGGCTACATGTATATCTGTTCTAGTACGTAGACTTAAAGATTCTGAAGACCCCGAGAAAAATTGTAAAACTATCATTCTTGGCAGTTAATATGTACAATGTATAGAGAAAATTTGTCCATAAAATAATATTCATCACCAATAATACTTATATTCACATGCCACAAAGTATATGGCTATTGTAGGGCAAATATATTTGACCCCCCTCCCTCCCCAAATAACCTTATTTTAAAAGAAAATCTTTTTAAAAAAAAATCTTCACAAGCTAATGTGACTTTTATCAAAATGGGGAGATCATTTATTTTGAACTTGTAAAAGGTGATGAATTTGTGTGAACTTTGTATCAACCCGGAAGAAAATAAAAACTAATGCCGCTGGCCCTTATTATAATTTATATTGGTTAAACCTATGAGTGGAAATTAAAGAGAATGTCTTTCGATGTGTTTGAGTGACAAAACACATATTAGTAAAGATTGACCATGAAATTGTATCACTGGCTGTTGTTTGTGTGTTTTTATTTCTTTCAGTGGATATTAGTGGTTACAGATAGAGCGTACTTATGTGATGTATGCAAGTGTACCAGATTTAAATTTAAACAAGGATTGAAAATTGATTGTAGTAATCGATTGAGCAAGGGATATAAAATTACTTCACTTCCAGAAGAGACAGTATGGATAGATTTAAGTGATAATAACATAAAGGGAATACAATGGAGATTTCCAAAGAAAATCAAATTTATCAATTTGTCAAGAAACAATATTTCAGCTCTCCCTGGTAATCCATTCAGTGGACTTGAAGTTTTAAGATATTTAAATCTCGAACAGAATAATCTCACACTCTCAGAATCAATCTATTACCAGGACGTATTTCTTTCTCTGCGAAGTTTAGAAACATTGAATATTAAGAGGAACGCAAAAGCTAACGTGAATTCAAATTCTATTGATAGAGCTTTTTCCAGGCTTGTTTCTTTGAAAATACTTAAAATAGACATACCTTTTAATTTTACATTTGGCGATGGATTCAGAAATCTTTGGAACCTTTCTGTCCTTGACACATCAGGAATAACAGGTATTTGCAATATTAGAAGTTTATCAGCAGATTTCTTCAAAAACATACCTTTTCTGAAGGATATCGATATAAGTAAATGCAAAATTTCTTATGTTGATAAAGGGCCCTTCAAACTGCTTCGGCACTTGAAAAAACTCGATATTTCTCACAATAAGGAATTAGGATTTGTCTCTCTCCCAAATGCAACCTTTGGTCTGAGCGAAACATCAATCAAAGTTTTTCATGCAGACAATATCCATTGTTCACTTGGTATTGGAACAATGTTATCAATTTCCCATATCGAGAACTTGCGTCAAACAAAACTTCTTGAGGCTTCTTTTGCACAGAATAGGATGGAATTAATTGGAAAAGGTGTTTTGCCAAATATGCCTTCAACATTGGAGAAACTATCTTTCGCCTTAAACCGACTCACAACAGGAATATATCTATTTGAATTTTTCTCTCTGCGTAAATTGAAAGAATATAACATGACATTACTTTTGAAACCTGTAAGATTTTATCCGGATCTTTTTGAGAAATGCAACGAAAAGAAAGATTTTAAAATCGCAATTGAGTCGAGAAAAAATAAATACCAACAATATTCACACATACAGAAAAACAGACTTTTGCCAAATATAACAGTTTACATTCCTCCAAATCTTACAACAATGTATGCTAATTCAAGCAAATTATACGGAGGGATTCCAAAACTAATCATGAATGCAACAAAATTGAAAAATATCTACGTACAGAACAATCTGCTCTTTTCATGGGATCAACCTGTGTTTGGGTTTGAGCTTGTCGAAAAACTAGATTTATCAGACAATTTTTGTTCTAGAATATCCCCCCGTTTTACTTCAAGCGGTACCGGATTAAAGTACTTAAACATTGCTAGAAATTTTTTGTCTCTACCGATTCAAATGGACAGAAGATGCCAATTATTTAAAAATCAACGAAAACTAGAAGAATTCGATTTATCAAACAGCAGACTTGTTCACATACCAATCTGTACTTTTCAAAACCTGGCAAAATTAAGAATACTAAAACTTAATCATAACCAACTGACCGAAGTAAACTTCAGAATGCGTCACATGACTGCCCTTTCTTATATTGATCTCTCCGATAACAGATTAACGGGTTTTACAAATGAAACTATACATGCTTTTACTTACATCTTCGAAAAATCAAAAGTAATCATTAACCTACAAAAGAACAACTTGTATTGTAGATGTGAAAATTTAGAATTCTTGACATGGTTGTATAATAACAGAATGCATTTCTTAGGTTTCCAAAAGTATACTTGCTCAGATCGTACCAATCATTTCAATTTTAAATACATGGAACAATCTCTCCAAAAACTCAAACTTGACTGTATGAATTTTAACATTTGGATTGTCACAACAACTGTTTTGATTACTCTAGTAATTAGTGTAATACTTGTGATAATCATTCGGAAAAACATCTGGCACATAAGGTACTTCCTGTATAAAAGTAAACGACAAAATGAAAGTTTTACTTCATCTACACGAGTAGAGGAATCATCTAATCTGCTTGCAAAACCCGATTTGCTGGGGTCAATAGCTGAGGAAAGCTGTGAAGAAATCAGTCACTATGGAATGAAGCAAGAAAAATTGCAATATCCTTACCATGCATTTATATCTTATGTAGGCGAGAATAGGGGATTCGTATTTCAGAAGATGAAACCAAAACTGGAAGCTAAAGGTTTGAGGTTACTAATTCGTGATATTCACTTCGAAATTGGTAATTCTAAAATAAATAACATCATGAAAGCAATCGGGAGGAGTAAAAGAACAATTTGCGTGGTGTCAAAACCGTATCTGAAATCAAAATGGCGAACATATGAATTAAACATGGCGAAAATGGAAGGTTTAAAGGAAAGAGGATCCCTCGGATATGTCCATCTTATTCTAATGCCTGATTTGTTTGAAGGAGGTTGTGACACAGCTATAAAAGATTTTATTGACAAAAAATATTTTCTTGACTATCCACCGGAAGATTCGTCCCTGCAGAGGGAATTCTGGCAAAATCTCACTCGTATTATCAAGAACTCATGATAATAGAAAAACATCGAAGCATATCGTGCGGATCAAAATTCAAATCATGATCTCATGAAAGAGTGTTCTACATAAATAAATCACGTACAACACTTAAAAAAGCTTTAAAGTTTATTTGACTTGGATTAAAACCGTTCATGTTTGTATATCTTATCCCAGACTTTAAATTTTGAAGGATATAAATATTTGCTTATATTAAATGCATAAACCGTATGTTTTCAAAGTTTTTGCTGGATCATTTGATAGTCTTACGCGTTCTAAAAATGTCATGTACATAATATGTACATAAGTATTTTAATATTTCATTTATATTTGGCTCTATGATTATTAGCATCGTTTCAAAGACATAAATAATCACCATAAAAATACATCAATACAAATATTATTTTAGTGTATGAAATATATGAAGATAACGAACAGTATTCAGGCTCAGAAGTCCATCAAACAATACAAAATAGGAGCAGAGAAAATACGGACCTCCAAACATCAGAGGTGGGATCAGGTGCCATGGAGGAGTGAGCATCCCCTGCCGACCGATCACACCCGCCGTGTGCTCCTTGTCATGATCGGGAAATAACGGGAAAATCCGTCGACAATTCAGTGTGTAAATAATGGCCTAAAATTTGTATAAAAAAGTCAGTCAGCATTTGACTCAATGATAATTTTGTATTTCCTGACAAAGTCATTGTATATCTTTATAGAAAATAAATAAGTGCAAGAAATGTCTTTATACCTGTATATATGTAGTTTTACTCTGTTAAGTCATAAAGATATTTCAATGTCACAAGGTCATACCTTAGTTAAAATTAAAAATATAAGTGATAAATTGTTTCTACACATCTTGTTGCTTCTGGAGAGTGCTTTTTATGGACATGTATGATAGAATTTTTTGGTTCAATGCAATGCGTCTATCGTTATTCAGGATTTAAAATTGCACTTTATCATGTTTGGCTATCTTTAATCCATAATTAAATATTATCCAACTTATATTGAATTTTATTATTTTGAAAGTGTCATTTTAAATTTCTAGTAATTGGACTCAAGCTGAAATAAGTATGACCTTTGCCAGTGTATTTTATAAATTTATTAAGTAGTGCTCTCGATTTCAGGAAAGCAGTAACACTTTTAAAGTTGAGGAATATTTCCTTTACATGCATGTATATTTAAAAAAATGATCAAGATCTATTAAGCGCATGTCCTTGCGAAAAGGCAATTTAATGAGTCACCTCGAATTTAAACATGCTAACTTTGTACACTAAAACACTGATTAATTCATGCAATACATTCTCCCGATAATCATTGAATAATAGCACTAAAGAATTAATGCTTCACATTGATATTAATGATCGATCTTTCATCTGTAAATAATATTCTGTTTAATAATAAATGCATTTTTCACTGCGGAAAAAATTGAACCGCCTCCCACTGCACATAAAATGGATCAAATTTTGCCATTATGACGTCATGTGGGCAAGTGCATCGTGATCAGTGACTTGTTTATACCTTGCTGTGTGGCATTTGCCTAGCGACAAAAATGAATGCAATGGTAGGTTTTGTTGTAGTTCATTACTCGTACACAGTTTAAAATCGCAAATTATTTCATTTCCTGGTATTTGAGGAATTCCTATATTTGAGTGATGTCACAGTAAACATTTCCCGTATAAATTAGGCCCCACTCCCTTTTTTGCAGCCTTAACAGTGCACGTATGCTAGGATCTCATTTACATGGTATGTTAATATGTGAGAAACATTTAATAATTGTCGACGTTTAATTGTGAAAGAAAACTTTAAATATAAAAATAACTTCCAAAGTAGGAAATGGAAATTAATTCATAGTGCGTATTTTATAGCAAAACCATTTTAATTACGATAAAATATAGAAAAACATTACATTCCTTTCGCACTTTTTCTTCAAAAACCTTTTACTAGCCTCCCTCTATGTGTCAAACAGTATAAAAGTACATGTTTGTATAATTACATATGTTTCTCATTATAAAATAAGGTGTAACATACATTCCTAAACAAAAATTCAACTTTTGATTAAAAATGCAAATATATTTGTGATGGGTATATGAAATCTATAATGAATAGAAATACATATCTGTAGTTGACTACAACAATTCCTGAATGCCTTATTACTGTGCATGACTTCATGTTTGTCTAAATTATGAATCAATTTTTTAAAAGCAGTTATTGATTGTCTCAAAATGATATGAAACGTAAATAGGTAGATTTGTTTTTTAATGATCTTTTTCACATAAATTCCGCTAGTTTTCAATACTTGTCCCCTCTTTCACTGAAAATCTATCCATCTGTATTTCTAATACATTCGTTTCCGCACTTCTCGAGATGCCTTTGAGCTTTTGCAATAAAATTTTACATAACAACTACCTATGGCCTCAAGAAGAACCCTATTGATTTTAGGTCAAAAGGTCAAAGGTCAAGGTCATACATTCATAAATTCTGTCTGTTTTAACACTTTCGTTTCCGCTCAATATCTCGAGAAGCCTTTAAGCTTTTGCAATGAAATTTTACATGCTAATTAGCTGTGGCCTAAGGAAAACCCAATTGATTTTGAGGTGAAAAGGTCAAAGGTCAAGATCATATATTCTGTCTGTGTGTAACACTTTCGTTTCCGGGAGATATCTCAAGAGGCTTTTGAGCTTTTGCAATGAAATTTCATACCATTAATCCCTATGGCCTCTCTCGCCTCTCTCAAAGTGTCCCATCCTGGGTTTTTTTTATTGTGTTAAAAGTCCCGTGTCATTATTTTTAGCACAGGAGTATGTGGAAAGTTATTTCATATAAAACAGGTTGTCGGCGGATATTAATTTCTAATTACATCTATTAGAACTGCTTTATAAAGGCTATATTAGACGCTATGTGTTTTGTAAAATTTTGACAATATTGAACGTGAATATAAACATGTGCATGTGACCTAATGTTTGCATTTAATTCGCTTCATGATCAAGCGCCTCGTTGGTCTAGGGGTACGAGGCGTGTTCTTTGAAATCCCGAAAAAAAAATATCCTTAATATTCAAATTAAGAATTGTTCCATCGTCACATATATAAATGCGTTAAAAGTGAGTTATGCATATGTGCGTAAATGACACAGGCGGATTTGAAAGATGGAAACTCTGTCTCAGTGAGAAAATGGATTATCTGTAAAAATCTAATCAAAAAAAAAAAAAAAAAAAAAAAAAAAAAAAAAAAAAAAACTTAAAAGAGATAGAAATGTAGGTCATAAAAAGAGATAGGCTCTTCACAGTTGCGTATCTTGTATCTTATGAAAGCATGCACAGTAGCGCGGAAAAAATGAAATATTGACAAACGAAATTATGCTACTGGAACAATTGTTAGCAAAATTCATTTCAAGCGAGAAACGTTTTTAATGCGTGGGTATCGGGCAAGGCAGCCTGAAATTTATAGGGAGAGTATTTTTGAGCATATGGAGAAATGATGTACAGTTTATTCATGAGGTTGCTCCCACGTGATTTACTTCTCATTAATATTCATAAGATCCTGCATAAACTCGAAATATTCCATTTCTTTAAATTTTCATATTAAAACCTGCAAGCACAGTTTGTTTTGTTTTTTAAGCCTCCGTCATAGTTATTTGGGCAGAATTTTTGGTTATTAACAGTTGACAACTCATGAAACCATCTTTTTTTTTTATAATAAGTAGGTCACACTGATGCAAGAAATTGCCGTTTTCAAATTACACTGTAGGAAAGCCGATGACCGTAATATAGTTTACGGTCATCAAAACATGTCGGCTGAGATGATCGGATGAAAATTTTCGACGGCGATTATAAACATTATTCAGTAAAACTGAATAATTTAAGGTAATGGTTAAACGAACATCGATGTTATCTCCACACCAGTAGTTATTGTTTACCCAAACAAAAGAAAATGAAATGATAAAAGGCCTTCGAAATTTTGCAGTATGATGACCGTAACAAACACATTCCAGCGAGAAGATGATGACCGTAAAACAGTTATATAGATGACCGTAATCTTTGTACAAAATCATGTTAGATGTTTTATATCTTATTTAACATCAATTCTACATGTTCTGTAACACCCCTGTAAACAACTCTGATGCGATCGGCAACACTGATAAAATCATTGAAGAAGAAAGTATCGTAGAGAATAAGATAAAGCAGTTTTAAATAATTTCTGTGCAAATGATCAAATCGACAATGCTCCAAACATCGAATTTCCATGCTTTGAGATAGTTTAGATTGTTATCATCTATCAACATTGAAGGTCATTCTTAGAGGTATGAACTAAACATTTTAAAATTAAAACTGTATACATTAGCATCAAAACAACTTTTAATTGGAAATTTTGACAACTGCGAGGCGATCGTCAACGACATGTATCGTTTATTAAGCGATCGTATAACTGGGAAATAGCGATCGTAAATTAAACGCATGAAGAAAAAAAAGCACAAATCAGAGTAAATTCTGTTTAGGAAGTGTTATTTCGATATATAATATATATTATTAAATTCAAATAAGGCAGTCGGTCATTGTGATATATCGTTAACTTTTTTAACCATTAAAAATGACCTACATTAATATCAGAAATTAAACTTAACTATGTTAATCAAGGAGATACATGTACTACGGAAAACGAACTGGAGGGCTCGCAAAATTTTACCTCAAAGGTATAGCAGTTATAATATCTCATATAATATATTTCAACAGAATAGAATTAATTTGCAGGCACGCAGTATCGCTTTTTTTAAAGGGGGGGGGGGTTAAAATGTAAAATTACCTTAGAAAGTTTGACAAGCAAAATAAAAAAGGAAAATTGTCCAAATTCGAAAAATCCTATATTGAATGTGTGTGTGTTCGGGGGGGGGGGGGGGGTCATCTTCTTTCACAATAAAATTTTATTCACAAAGTACCAGAGTATCACTATTTAACTATACCGCAAAAAAAGGGGGAGGGAAACCAACTTTTCAATAAACATTTCAACTGTTACAGTAAATAGTTA